CGAAATCTGCACATCGAGATTCACAAAGTGCTGCGCCTGCCACGAAAGCTGCACATCGAGACTCATAAAGTGCTGCGCCTGCCACGAACTCTGCACATCGGAGATCCAAAATGAGCAAATTGCACGAGGCTGTCGCAAATTTTGAAATGCGTTTTAGAAATGTTGTGCCTGCCACGAAATCATGCCTGCAGGTCATACGAAATGCTGCACTGGCCACGCAAAATCATCCTCAAGGTCAAAGTCCAAAAATGCGACCCCTCTCACGAATTCAGCCGTTTCACCTCAAAATCTCGCATCCATGGTGCGGATTCCCTGCGCCTGCCACGTGAAACGCAGTCCTGCGAATGACACACGCCTGCCAACGTTTTTGCAACGTCCACAAAACACTGCGCCTGCCACGAAATTTGCAAAGTCTCCGATTCCTTGCGTCTGCCACGTAAAATGACCTTTTCGAGGCTCCAATGTGTCGAATTCCTTGCGCCTGCCACGCGAAATTCACTTCAGGTCCGAAAACGAGCACGGCACCTGCACGAGAGCTTTGTCCCGGAAGCGCGAAAACCGCGACCCCCACTTTATGCGAGCCTGCGCAATCGAAATGGACATGAGGAATTCAAAAAGTAACTTTTGTGCGAGCCGGCCCACGCAAAATGCCGCGCCCACACGCGCGAACCCTGATCTAAACCCGCTTAACTCTTACCGTAAGAACCCCTTAGTGCGGAGCACTATTTGGGGAATTAATATTATTTATTTTCCCTAAATTAACCGTATATTTTTCGGAATGAATTCTTAAAAATTCAATTCCATATTTGAATTCCCCAAATCCTTATTATTTCATCTTTATTTTTACAATATTTTACTTGAGCGGGGAAATACGAAAGGTAGAGACGGACCGGGTAGCTGTCGAGACCTTTTCTGGTGAGGGACTGTCTCCGGTATTTCAGGAACGTTCCCCTTGGTCAGTTATGGATGAAACCAATAAAGCCAAAGAGCACAAGAAGGCTCAAGAGGAATACCGTTGCGATCAGATTGCGCCGCCCGGCTCTGCAGAGAGGCTGCGTTGCGTCGACGCTCGTTTGTGTAAAGGTGGGTGAAAACAGGCGCGCGTAAAAATCGCAATGCGTAAATGCTCGCATGTTAACCAACTATGGTCCCACAACTACACGCACTGTGTCAGGATTACAGGCCTGCACGCGTTGCGTCGAAGCCGCCGGTACTGCCAAGGATGGGCGTCACGTTATGGTGGCTGGCTGATGGGAAGGGTATATAATGGTAAATAGCTGTGTAGTGGTGCTCCACGACGCGTTAAGATGTCGCCACGCGAGGATATAAGGCTAAATCGAATGGTGCTCCGCGAAGCGAGAGGTTTCTCCACAGGGCTTTGCAGAGATATCGATGATCGTTGGTGTCGAGCAATATGGTTTATGAATGCAATACGCGTTATGTTAGGCTGCCGGGCGCGCGCGCTCAGCATCGAAGCCGCATTGCGTAACCTCATTGTGCAGGGTTCGTGCTGGATTGCGCAACCGCATGGCCAACATCGTGTTGCTATAACTGCTACGCGCATAATTTCATCTTATTCACCTTATGGCGTGACAGTGTGTCCAGAATGCTAGTAATGCTAGCGAGAGGAGGAATGGAGAGTGGAGGAGAAAAGAAAAGAGGGAGGAGGAGGGGGGGCAAAATAATTGATTTATCAATGAATCATTATATGCGAAGAAGGGGGGGGGGAATGGGGATGATAGGCATTAATCTATCAATCTTTCATCCCGAACAATCTCTCGAATCAATTCCTTTGCTTCGCAAAATAAATTGAAAATAATCATGAAAATTACCAATCGCCAAAATTCAAAAACATAAATATAATATCTATAATAATTTCATACAATTTCTACATATAAATATTTAATATTTAATCACATTTTTAAAATATAAACAATATTTTTCACAACAATTAAATATGCATATCTTTAATTATACATATATATCGTCCTAAAAAAATATAAATCAATCTCCACAATAATATATTAACTAAAGAAAATATTCGACAACACATTAAGCGTAATATCAACTATAAATACAAACACAATAATTCATTTTTAAAACATATATATAAAAAAAATATATTATAGAAAATCTTAATCATACATCCACTTACGACTAACGATCACAAAATAGAAATAAAATCGTACATTTGCAAAAAAACAAATCAAACACGACATTTAGACTACGGGAAAAAAACACTAAATTAAACAAAAAATGTACATATCACTTGCATAATTCGCTTCACCAAAGCCCCCCCCCAAACATATATATTCACCACTTTCCGGATCGCCTCTTTTTTGCATTTTCCCTCTGAGTCTCTAAATTCACCCTACCCGACCGGGTCCACTATGCAATCCCCACCCTATATTCACCCACACATTATGCTCACTTTATTTGCCCATCGACTATCAATTAGATTTCGTAATATTCAATCGAATTTAAAAAATAATATATCAATTAATACCAAATATCAAAAAACAAATATATTTCATATAAAACGAAATTATACGAGAATTGATTCCACACGTTTTTATGATTTATAATTTCTGTCTTTTTAAAAAGATGGTTTATTATAAAAAATATATTTAGCAAACATATTGATTTATAATCTATCAAATTTTTCATCAAATTTTTGACAAAATACTAATTCTCATAATTCCCACACAAAAATCCATCAACCATCATCTATCAACAAATCCAAGACATCACATCATACATCGTCAAATCATCACCTCTATAAAAGAAGATCTGGTTTCCAAGACCTCCAATCTCAATGAATTTTCAATTTCAATAATTGGGCCTAGGCCTAGGCTTCTCCCAAGGGAAAGAAGCGCAAAAAACAATGATTGTCCAATTCCACGAGCATTATTTTTTGGCTCCCCCCAACGGCAAAAATCCAGGCCCAATGCTAAAGATTAAAAACTATTAAGATTAGAAGTATAAAGACCAAATCCCGCTCATAGAGGTAATGACCTGCATAGATGCAACACCTAAATATAAAAGATTGGAATCATAATTTTAAGTAAACTATATTGCTATACAAATTATTAAACAAATGCCCTGGACAGCAATACAATATAGATGGTGCTTCAATTGGATTTATTTGGCCTCCAATAATACATAGACACTATATAAAAGGAACATTTGCTAAGCAATCAATAATGGAAATGAATCCATAGAATAATTTTTAAAAATAAATTTATGCATAATTAAATGGTCCAATAAAAAATCAACATTAATTAAATATAATATTGGTTAATCCTCATAATTCATATTATTAATAAACCATATTTTTGCACTATCTATTAATTTATTTTTGGGTAGAAACTAATGAGATATTAAATTATAATGTATTTAATAAAAGGTGATTAATAAAATTTAGAGCTAGGATAACATCACGAAAAAGAATATCCTTAGCAATAAGGGATAAATTAGGAGATAATCTCAATAATAGAATATTTAAGATTATTTTAATTTGATGGTTTATAATATCCAATATAAAAAAAAAATAGGCATATAATTAAAGAATATAAGAAAATAATATTTCCAATATAAATAAAATAAAATAACACATTAGGTGCATCAAATAGCTAACATTAACTTTATAGCTATATTTATACAAACAATTCCTCCATAAGCGATTACATAAATACCTAAACATAAAAAATTAGAATCCTAATTTTTAATAAATTATACAAATCATTAAAAAAATGCCCTAAACAACAATACAATATAAAAAATATTTCGATTTAATTTTTTAGCCTCCAAAAGCACACATACTCCATATAAAAAAGAAATTTGCTAAATAATTAATACAATTCATAAAATAATTACTAACAATAAATATATATATAAATATATAATCCAATAAAAAATCAACACAAATTAATATTAATTAATCCTCATAATTCACGCTATTAATAAAACATATTTTTGCATAATCTATTAATTTATTTTTAGGTAAATATTAATAAAATATTAAACCATAATATATCCAGAAAAAACATAGCCATATATAATTTTAAATTTACATAATATCATAAAAAACATATCCTTAATAATATTAGATAAATATTAAAAACATGCTAAATATACCAAATTTAATACGAGAAAATATAAATTCCAATGTTCGCAAGATGATTTCCTATAACCCTAAAAATGAGAATATAAATTTCTCAATTCTTGTTAAGCCTAGTAGGCACATAATATTTCAAGATAATAATATTCTCTCCATTTCATAAAGAATGTGGGGGGGAGAAGCCCAAAGACTGCTACCTTTAAAATAATAAGAATGATTATAGGCAAGGAAGGGTAGAGTGGGATCCAGAGGTTGTTTGAAAACAAAAAACAATTGGTTTGTTTGAGAAACAAGAGCACAAAAACATATCTAGACCGCAACCGTGGAAATTCTTTCAAAACATGACAAAATCTAAGAAAAACACAAAAGCGCGTAAAAACAACACCTGCATAACTTCAAGCTCTCATATCTTAAGCTACACTCTCTTGATATTTATATCTTAAAAATAACGAAAGTTTTTCTTCTTAAATGCATATATATATATAGATACACATAGTTTTGTACATTCTACAAAGTAGGTACCGGTTCACATGCCGGTCCGATAGCCAAACAGTTGAGACCTCTGCGGTCAGATTCAAGGAGTTGATCATGCTTGAACCTCCAACTCTGAAGATGAACCTACAAGCTCATCACGCACACTTAGGAGCAAAGTTCATCTTGAAGAACAAGACTTGCAGAACTTCAGGTTGATGAACTTACAAACAAACTCTCAAAATGACCAACGACGAAGACAGAACTTCGGACGACTTGCTCCGAAGATGAGCCCGATACACTTGGGCCCGAGCCTGAAGGTCCGCACCTCGGACAGGAGAATCCGAGCACAGTCTGATTGATTTGCCATCTTAATCCATCTGAAACTCTTTTCTGAAATCAGGAAGGGGTTGGGGTTTGGGGGGACCTCCCATTGTTTCTCTCCGAGTCAGTTCCAGCTCCTTGTTTTGGATGGGGACTTCACCGATCCTTTGCGGGAGAGACCTGGGTTTTGAGGTGAATTTCACATGCACCTCGATCCTTGTCTTGGGGCATCCCAATGATCTATTAGTATACATATAATTAGACTATGACTATATAATATAGATTATATATAGATGAAACTTGTTTGCATTTTTCTTTTATTGTGTGCATACCCTTGCAGCAAACCAAACACTTCCTTTCTCTGAGGTCAGTTCTGCAGGTATAGACCTGGCGGCGAAGCAGCCGAAAAAGTGTGTCAATCTCGGCCGTTGCGAAGAGTTCGAGTTGGATCTTTTATCAGAGTTTGGAATGTTGACTCTCAAACTAATTTCCGCAGGTTCCCAGTATGCTCAAGGCGGAGTGAAGCTGGAAATCTTGCGCGCAAAGCCCACACAAACTGATATTTTCTTGTTCAGGGGAGTTGCCCTTTGGTGTTGGAACAAATTGCCGTGCGCGAGTCCGCAATTGCGGAATATTCCCGCCTTCGGTGCTCGTGCTGATGTAGTGGTTGGCGCAATTCTCCAGCTTGTCGTTGCAGCCGCCCTTCTCCGCAGTGCCTGATACAACATGGCATACGACAACATCGGGTCACTCAGCAACCCCACTTTATCTGTTGATACAAGTGCAAAGCAACCAAGGATCAATATGGATCACATTGGATCACCGCAGTAATCTCGCAGGTCTTAAGTTGACGAAGGCTTCAGGGTGACGCGAAAACCTCCACTAGAGCGACTAGAAGTGGTCCATCTGCTTGTCATGCACAAGCAGTAGCCAACAAGAGCTCTGCTGCATGGCGCTTTCCAAAAAGCTCCCTAAATCCACAACCTTTTGACATTCTGTTCACATCAAGAATAAAGCCTGTCCAGAGATGCCGTTTCCATCAGCTGTTATGTCAACCTGGCGGATCCTCGTCTGTTTTTCTCGCTGTTTCGCGGCGAAGGCACCATGCTTCTTCAGCGAAAGGAGGTGATGGGACATCATTGGCTGAAACTGAAGACTTCCGGAAGCCAATCGAACGACTCGGCAGCCCGCGCTTTCGGTGCCGACATCCGATACGGTGCTCTGACCACATCCGAGTCGAACGTCCGTGAGGTCCGTGCTTCGATGCGCCACTCGATGCGCCAACTGACCACATCCCCCCTTTGGTTCAGATCCTCGGGGTCCTGTGCCTGACAGTGTCCCTCTGCACCATGCCTTTCCAGAAGGAGCACCTCGAAGGAGGTGCAGCAAACTGACCGCACGAGTGCGCTCGAGGTGGGGGGATTGTTGGGGTCTGGGTCAGGGAGCTTGGTGAAATCGAGTCACGTAAATTCTTTCGACACTTTCCAGCTTTGCTGGCAGAACACCATTTCTAGTTTCGGGATGTTTCGGGCAGATAGAGGGCAGGAGAAAAACCAGGGAACATTTGGACAGCGAGATCAACTATACCTAGAGTTGTATCCTTGTGAACATCAAGTCCTCCATGGTGCCTGCACGAACACAATGGTCTTACTTCAATCAAAGGGCACATCTCCTAGAATATACAAACCGATTGTAGAGTCTGAGAGTGGTTTCCTCGGAGTCGATCTTGTGTCCGAACTTACTTCAACTCACTTCATCTTCATCTCCCCCAAGAGAGGTTAAGTGACCTTAAAGGACCCGTCACCTGGGTAACCTATGGGATAGTCGAACTAGGGTTCTTCAACCTCTGTTGGCCAGTCTGTGCTGTTCATCGATCATGGACGAGGCGCTACTGAGCGCGCAGTCAATCAGCACACGAGTCACGACCATGACCTGCACGACATGGAGAGCACGTCGACCAGGCATCAAGCAGCGCATCAAGAATCTCCCAAATGGCACAGCTGGATCTTCATATTCATTTCTATCAAGTCCCCGAAGCGACCAGACTCAAAAAGTGGAGATGGCTGCCATTGGCTGCCCACATCAGAAAGACCCAACCAATAACCGAAGGCTACCCTGTCTGTCAGAATCGAAGGACATGTTCATGTTCATCTCTTTCGGTTGCAAGAACATACTGGTTATCACAGAAGAGCTCTCACACAGTTTGACCACAAACGACAATCATTTTCGGCCCTTGCTGAGGCCGTCGCAGCTGTATTGTACTCACCCAGCCTGGGCAAGCATAGAGAGAAAAATCCGGACGTGCGTGGCAACCTGCAGGTGTGATGATGCTGTGTGAAACTCAAATGTATCCACATCAGTGATCTTTTCAAGATATCAGGGTGTCGCGAACCGCAGCTCGTCGACGAACACGAGAACGGCAGCTCTCGACCAATTTTGCTGCGAGGTTCTTCAACACGTCACCGTCTTTGAAGGGTGTCTCCACCTGAGAGAGCCACGGCACTTATTCTTTCTTGATTGAAAGGGGGATCCGTGTGATCCGCGAATCCTGAGCGGAGGCTGCCATGTAAACACAAGTTGTTTGGGCAACGAAGGAAGCAGGGACCCCAATGTGAATGTGGTTGAGAGCTGCCACCTCTAAACTCCCACAGCACCTATCTGGTGGAGGAAGATGATCTTTCAACTCTGTTATGGTGGGTAAGGGACAAAAAAAAACAATCAAAAACAACTTCAGCGCGGATCAAAAAAAAGGAATCAAACAACATTCTAGCCCACTGAGGATGGTTGGGGTTGAGCATCGGCTCAAAAAGTCGTTACATGGTGGTGGTAGTAGTAGTAGTAGTAGGAGTAGGAGTAGTGGTAGTGGTAGTGGTAGTAGTAGTAGTAGTCGTCGTAGAAGTAGTAGGAGTAGTAAGTGTGGTGGACGTTGTAGTAGTAGTAGTAGTAGTAGTAGTAGTGGTAGTGGTAGTGGTAGTGGTAGTGGTAGTTGTTGTTGTAGTGGTGGTAGTAGTAGTTGTTTTTGTAGTGGTGGTGGTGGTAGTAGTAGTAGTAGTAAAAGTAGTGGAAGTAGTAGTAGTAGTCGTCGTCGTAGTAGTAGTAGTAAAAGTAGTGGAGGTAGAAGTAGAAGTAGAAGTAGAAGTAGAAGAAGTAGTAGTAGTAGTAGAAGTAGTAGTAGTAGAGGTAGATGTAGTAGATTTAGAAGTCGTAGTAGTAGTAGTAGTAGTAGTAGTAGTGGTAGTAGTAATAGTAGTAGTAGTAGTAGTAGTAGTGGTAGTGGTAGTAGTAGTAGTAGTAGTAGTAGTAGTAGTGGTGGTGGTGGTAGTGGTAGTGGTAGTGGTAGTGGCGGTAGTAGTTAGTGGTAGCAGCAGCAGTAGTAGTGGTAGTGGTAGTGGTAGTGGTAGTAGTAGTACTAGTACTGGTAGTAGAAGTAACTGTAGTGGTAGTAGTAGTAGTAGTAGGAGTAGGAGTAGCAGTAGCAGTAGGAGTAGTAGTAGTAGTCGTCGTCGTAGTAGTAGTAGTATTAGTTGTAGCAGCAGCAGCAGCAGGAGTAGTAGTAGTAGTAGTAGTCGTCGTAGTAGTAGTAGTAGTGGTAGTAGTGGTAGTGGTAGTGGTAGTAGTAGTAGTACTACTGGCTGTGCTATTTTGGCTTGGTCAACGTCGCTCGGCACGCTATTTCTTGCAATTGCTCTTTGAAGTGCCAACGGTCTTGTTTCGCACAGTGAGACAACTTCTGCAGCATTCTGCTGGAGTTTCTCATTCTTATTTACAGTTTCCGTGGCTAAACAAGCGGACCAAATATTATGCTTGCTCAATCCATGTTTCTGCCTCGAGTTGGAATCAGTTCTCGGAACACAAGACATGCAGCATATGCAGCTCGTGCAACTCACCCTCACTGACGCAGGGCTCCGACCCTCGCTCTGCCTGCGTCCGCTGCGACAGAGTTGGTCTGTAAAGGCAACATGGCGGGTGTGTACGGAAAGGGTGTCAGCAAAAACTGCGTCTACGAAGTATAGTACATCAAAAATACCTTCCTCTCCGAAGATTTCTGCTTTCTTTTTTGGGGTACGGTTTGTTTTCCCAAGGGTCCACCACTGCACAAATGGTCCGCGAAATTCGGATCTCTAAAATTTTCTAGGTTGAGGGTGGGTCTCTCAATTGAGACTGATGCCACGCTCTTCCCTTTATGCATCACATCCATCAGCTTCATATCCAATTCACATCGCTCGTCTTAAGCCGGTTGACACTTCCCCTCCCAAGAAATTCGTTGACTTGAATCTCATTGTGCCCACGCTGCATGTACATCTATCACGACCTAACGCGACCCATCCACGTCTTCCATCCAACTCCGATTCGCGCTCCCACCCCTTCAGATCTCCAGAACGCGAACGCGTCTTCCGTCCTCCGCACGCGAACGCGTCTTGCAGATGGGAAGCAGCGATTGAACCCTTGAGACACGGGCTCCTGAAAATTGCACCGTCCCGAAGAGCGATGCTTCACTCGTGAGTTACAAATCTGGGGCTCAAAGAAAGATGCCATGCTGTTTCTTCCGGGAAATTCACCGTTCGAAGAGACTTGGAAAAGAATGCGATTAGGCCTTCACCTGGAGTTCTTTCTGGGGTCAAAGAGTGAAGGAATGACCAACGACAAGCCTGTGTAAATGTGTTGGGGGGGAAGTGGACAGACACCTAGGGCCTAGCGTGAGCTTTTTTTACACTTGCAACCAATGCCCTGTCAGCCCTGAGGTCCAAACATAGACTGACCTTATGGGTTTCCAGGAACCTGGCAATATCACCCCGCAAATCCGGGGCAAGGTTCGATACGTTGCAGCACTAAGCACATGACAAGGCACACAAACGTTTCCAAAACCTTTTCGGCTTCTGCGGGAAGAATGTTCTTCACCCAGGAATCGGAAATATAAGTATGCGCTTGCAATCCTAGGTGTCCAATGGCCAGCAGCTGCACAAAAAAGGAGTGGATGTTGCAGTTGAGGCTGCAACTTGTATTCGGACCGCAGCAGCTCAGTGTGGTCTGTCGGCCCTCAGGTCGGGCAGTGGGCCGGTTCAATGCAACGACCAAATCTACAACAGTCCATTGAACTTCACCCTTCCATTTGCGTGGGCGGACGGTGGCCTCCCACGTTGTGTCCGCGGCGTTCTTCTGGTTGAGGGTCTGGAGGAAGGTAGTCCGCGCGGCCTCGTCATCGTCGCATTCGGTCCACATGGTGGCCACCTCATCGAGATTCGTGTCCGTGAAGCATGCCAGGAGGTCTTGCCAAGCTGTGATGGTTGGCGTGCCAGTCGTGTCCTTGACCTGGAGGGGCAAACGGTGGCGGTCGCCGTTGTTGCCGCACCAAATGTTCACGCGGAACAGGCTCTCGGTGAATGGCATGATGCGAACGTGGGCCTTCAATGGCGGTGTCGGCGGCGCGGTCTTCAAAGCCTTCAGCGCTCGGGTCTGGTACCTGGGATGTGGATCGTCCGTGCAGGTGGGGGTATAAGAGGGGTTAACGAAACGAGGTCACTGGACTACGAGCAAGGTCTATGAAAGTCATTAGTTACATTAGTTCAGTTGACGCAGGGCTGTAAGCCAGCTGGGAGGCGGCAAACACCACGTGAGGCGGGAAGACTCGAGGGAAATGAGGCCCATCCACGATCGCTTCTGCGCCGACATAACCAGCAAGGGTTGTCCAGTTTCGAAAGTCGCTCCAGACATGTTGCCAATCGTGTCGACGGGCATGGTCTGGTCGCCTGCAGCCGGGCAAGGTTGGAAGAGTGTGTGAGTGGTATGGGGGTTTAAAACATATATGTATTGGTTGCCAGTCGGTGGCGCAGTGCAGGCCAGGCGCCCCATTGCAAGGAGATGGTACGGCGAGGAAGCGCGAGCGGTTTGACCGGCGACGGTGCCGGTCCGACATGTTGGACAACGCCGGCCACATTGAGGGGTTGGTTCTCATCAACTTGGTCAAGGTGTTCGGGCTTAGTGACAGGTTGTGGCTTTAAGATCGTGTCCGGGATGCCGTCGAGGACTCGTTGCAACTGCGCGCGGAACTGGAAGCGTAGGCCTCAGTAACAGCAGGTCGAAGGTAGTAAAAAAAAGAGTGAGTAGTATGGGAACAAGGTGTGAGAGAAGGGACGGAACTAGGAGAGTTTAGCCTAGAGTTCAGCAGTTGGACCTAAACAGGGGAACAAAGACATGTTAAAAAAGACTTATATAGCGTCATGAGTGTTTGTCAAGTTGCAGAGATCGTTGGCGATGCCGGTGTAGGCTTGACCCTTGTAGGTACGGACACAGGATCGCTTGACCAGCACACTGTGGGCAACGCCATGTGGTAAGGCCTTCCACTGGTCGCGGTCGAAGGCGGCCTGGACGGACGGTGGATGAAGAAGTGGGGCTACAAGGGGGGTGTCCAAAACGTGGAATGACGCGGTCCCGGCCTTGTTCGCAGTGACTTCGACCCCATCTCCAGCACGCGTAAGGATGCGTGCAACGAAGGTGCGCTCTTGCCATTGCTCTTCGACGCGCGAGGCAGTGATGCGAAAAATGATGGTCTGCTCCGCCTCAAAGAGGGACAGCGCCATTGCCGGGGAGGGCGTGAACGCACGGCGTGAACGGATAGAACCTGCTGATTAGTTGCGGCGGCACATGGTCGGCGGGTGAAACAACGTCAGCGCACGAGGCTTAGTCAAGCTAGCTGAGGTGTGGGCTGCTAGTCTGTTCGACGAAGGCAAAGGCGGCAGCGCCATACCTTCAGTGGCGAAGTCTTGGCTCTGCTCCCAATCGAAGCAAACATGCTGAGGTGTGGGCGGATGTCGATCAGGTCCACGAGGTTAAGGCGCAAGTGGCTGTCCGGGGCCTGTCAATCACGGTCCGCGAAGTGAAGACAAGCGGCGGGCAGCAATGAGGTTTGGCAGACGTAGCGTCGCAGCTGCGGCTGCATCGCCACAATCAGAAGTAGGAAGGCGTCCCATCCCAGTGAAGCAGGCTGCGTTGTGGTCAGGTCCGCGAAGGGAGAAGCGGCTAGTAGACCTGTGGGCAACGCACCTTTTTTATGTCGTTGAGGTGGTGGCGGCGTCACGTGCGCGGTGTAGACCTGTCAGGAACTCTGTTTTGCAAGCCTGACGAGGCTATATCGTCGGGGGCAATCAACGCGGCGGCGGTGGCTCCGTGCAAAGTTGGTGCAGTGAGTTGCTCCGTGCAAAGTTGGTGGCAACGTGCAAAGTTGGTCCGTGCAAAGTTGGCCTTTCCGGGGCATCAGCAGCGTAAGTGTGAGGATGCATGTGTGTGTGTGTACGTGTGTCTGCGTATGTGTGTGTGGCATGTTCACGTCGGTACGAGGTTGTAGAGGAGGATGTAGTGTTGTCGGGCAGCCGTGTGCACATCTCCTATGGGCTGCGGCGGGGCGGCGTCATCACAAAGAAGCGAACCTCGCGTCGGATCAGAGACGACGATGACCACGTACCAACAATGGGTTACCTGACCGAGGAG